AGTTCTTGCCAGTTCTGGCTGGTGAAGCGACTATCTCTATCACTAACAATTGACAATGGGATTCCATTCTCACTAACCCAAAAGTCAAAAAACCTCTGTATAACTAAGTCCGTCCGTGCCTCTGCAGGCAAAGGCACGAAAACTGCATATTTGCTAAAACGGTCAACTATGACCATGACTTGGCTCTTACCATATCTACTCTTGACTTGGGTGTCCATGAAGTCTATGGACACTGAGTCTCCCGGCTGATTCGGAATAGGCAAGGGTCTGAGAAGACCTAGGGGTGCGCGTGTTGTAGCCTTATTCCTTTGGCACACTTTACAACTGCGAACATACTCTATGCAGGCATTCTTCATTCCGGGCCAGGTATACGCGCGCATTAGGTTGGCTAATGTCTTTTGCCAACCGAAGTGTCCCTCAGTATCGTGGCATTCCCCTAGGATCAGACTACGAATCTCCTCGTTGTTGGGGAGGCACAGGCGGTCAAAAACATTAGTCTTCTCAAACAGCAATCCGTCTGTAGTGCGGTAATCTAGTTCGGTCTCTGGAGCCTCTCTAATTTTMTTTAGGAGGTCGCTATAGATAGGGTCCTGCGCATACGCTTGCTTCACTTTCTCCTGCAGGTCTTTCCCTATATCCAGATAGTGTACTACAGCTCCCAAGTAGTCTGATCTCCTACTTAGGGCATCTGCAACCACGTTATACTTGCCCTTCACTGGCTTGAGCTCAAAGTCGAATTGGTCTATCTCTGCGGCCCACCTGGTCAACTTAGGTGTCATCTTGGCCTGGGTCTTCAACCATCTAAGCGTTTCATGGTCCGAATARACTTTGAAGTGCCTCCCAAGCAGGTAGTGCTTCCAATGGTCTAAAGCCTGCCTGAGAGCGTAGAGTTCTCTCTYGTAYGTGGAGGTAGCAACCTTCTCACAGGGCATCCTCGCTGACATGAACTCTACGGGTCTATAACCATTACCGTCGTCCTGCTGCAACACGGCGCCTATCCCATACTGACTCGCGTCCATGGTAACGACAAATGGCAAGGATGGATCTGCTACTTTGAGGACAGTATATTCTATTAATGCGCGCTTTAACTTCTTGAGCGCAGACGCACAATCTTTATCCCATTGCCAGATTGCCTCTTTCTTTAGCAGTCTGCGCAAGGGAGCGGCGATAGTGGAGAAGTTCCTCACGAACTTCCTATAGTAATTAGCTAAGCCTAGGAACGACCGTAACTCTGTTAGTGTGCGGGGCGTCGGCCAGTCTCTAATCGCCGCGATCTTGCTGTCCTCTGGCTTAATGCCATCTCCGTCCAACACGTGGCCCAAGTACAAGACTAGCGTCTTGGCCCACTCGCACTTCTTCGCGTTGATCTTGAAGTTAGCCTCTCTAAGCTTCTCCAAGACCTGCCTCAGATGACCCTTGTGCTCCTGGAGGGTCTTACTAAAAACTAGAATATCATCTAGATAAACTACCACAAATTTGTCTAACCACGGTCTAAACAGGTCATTCATAAAACGCTGAAAAGTAGCTGGCGCGTTGGTTAGTCCAAAGGGCATCACTATGAACTCATAATGCCCGTATCTCGTCCGGAACGCAGTCTTGTACTGGTCATCAGGATGGACCTCTATCTGATGATATTCGGATTTTAAGTCCATCTTAGAGAAATATTTGCAACCCCGCATCCGATCTAAAAGATCGTCTATCCAAGGCAGCGGCTCAGCATTCTTTACGGTGATCGCATTTAATCCCCTATAGTCTATACACATTCTCAGTTCTCCTTCCTTCTCATGGACAAACAAAACGGGTGCTCCAAAAGGAGACGAACTGGGCCTGATCCAACCTTTCTCAAGGAGCTCGTCTAACTGTTTGCGAAGCTCCTCTAACTCTCTAGGGGACATTCTGTAGACTGCACCCTTAGGAGTTCTACTGCCAGGCTCTATCTCTATCCTGTGCTGGATGGGTCGCGACACTACTCCTCTCGGTGACTCAGTCAAGTCTTTGAATTCTTCCAGGAACTTGGCAATTGTTGGATTTGTGGAACTATCCTTTTCCTGGGCCTCAGTGACAGGTCTAACATAAACTACAAADACCTGTTCCTCTAACTGCTCCTTTTTGACTAATCGCGCGAACGTGGGAGCACTGAGACAGTAATGTGCCAAGGTATTGTCTACACCAGACACATGGAACAAGCGGGCAGTCTTAGCCTCGCCTGACGGACTAGGGAGCCTACACTCATGCTCTCTCAACTGGAGTGTGGCCCCTGCTGCCTCTCCCCAATCCATTCCTAA